CCATTGAAAAAACTGTTCTGGGCTTAGGAGATGGACTGACGGCAGAGACAGGCTGGTACACAGAACAGGGTAGCCAGAAGGGAGGCCGATGGGCTGAAGGAACAAAAGTGTGTTTTTCTGGAGTGATAGCAACAATAATGGTAAGTAGTAGTGAAATTTTGGGGGCGTGCTCAGCTAATTCGGTTCCTGTACTGCAGAACTTTACAGAGCATGAATCCCCCAAAAGGGGGATTTAATATTTTAGGAAAATAGCTGACCAGGGGACCCTTTTTTTTCATGGAGCATGTGTGGCCTAGTTTTGAAAATGCGGATGTAGAGGCGGCCAGCAATGGCTGGTTCCAGTTTGATTTAAAAGTCCATAGGTTGTGGGAAAGGAAAGCCATAGTGGAAACGCAGGGATGTCCAGGGTACAATCTCGAAAGTGGTTCCCAGGGCTGTGGCTTTGTTTGTGAAAAGCTGAGTTACTTTTCATCCCTCTGATTAAACTTCTCTTTTCGACCATTAAGTCCAGTATCAGGTGTTGAAGCTGCAAAGTATAAAAGTGGGAATTTATGAAGCGTTTATCAAGAGTGTATGTTCAATAATTTAGTTTCTCAAAAACAGGGCTGGATAAAGTCTTCACAAAAACATACCAAAATCCAGTGGCCTTTGGGATAAGCTAGGCTTTTCCTTATTAAAGGACAAGAAAGTAGCTAATGGTCAAGAGAAGATGCATGTTGAACTCCTGGAGCACTCAATAGCAGCTACTTACTATTTGGGAAGTTTTCCCACTCTCTGAGCAGAGGCCTGTCGTGGGCTCTGAGAACACCCCGATTTCTACTGCCTGGGGGTTGAACTGAAGACTGTCTTCCCAGTGAAATACAGTCCTGTTCTCAGGTTTAAGATGATTAATACTGAATGTTGACTCTTAAGATTTCCGAAGAAGCCAGCTATTGGTGACTGGTGAAGACAGGGACTGCTGGCAGGGATTCGACATTTATATAGCATGATTTAGTTTTCACTAATGATGTGATGTGAATTTTGTGAGTGTACAAGTCAGCTCACAGTACTGAGACATACTGAGAATGGTTCTAAACTATTTTCAGTTGCCCCGACTCTGTGTGTCTCGCAGGTCATAACTTTCCATTCTTTTGTGCCAGTTGATACCATTCCATTCCTTTCCTTGAGTATCTTACTTTATTGTTGAATTTCCCCTCATAATCCTCTATTAAACAAGAAAAATAACACCCGTGTGCCTTCCTTTTGGTTATAGAAGTGTACTTGTGATAACTTCTGTGTGTGACCTGGCTGAAGCGTTCCAAGCACATGGAAATCACTTACCGGTGACAGTTTATATTGTGTTTTTATTTTCCTTGTGTAAGCCTGAACTTTCTTTCCTTCACAGGTAAAGTCAGTGATAAACCTCTTGTTTGCTGCGTATACTGGAGATGTGTCTGCACTTCGAAGGTATGTTAACAGGGTGGGTTAGCGTATGGCTTACAGATGTTTATGAAGTTGCTTCTGGGCAGATGGCCATCTTAAGGCTAAAATCTCACTTGTATTTCCCGCTAATAAAAATGACCCAAACAAATTTATATTAAATTTCCACTTCCAGTGCCTTAGGCATGCTGTGCAGTCTTGTCCTTTTGTACCTCCTGTCAAAGCCCAGGCCCCTGCTTTCCTAAGTGATAACTGTTAAATGCCTCTCAACCCCCCTCTACCCTCCACTCCTTATCTCTGGAGTGAGGGGGAGGCAAGGGGGGGCATTTGGTGGCCTTCAGCTCACCAGAGTTAGAAAGGTGGCACAGTTCTGTATATTTAACATAAAGTCTTTTGTACAGAGTTGCAACTGAACTTTAATGTGAAAAAATGTCTGTGCTTAATTTTCACCTTTGTCTTAAAGTCAAATTAGTACTTCTATGAACAGTACTGCATTATACACTTCCATGTTGCTAAGAGACTAGATCTTAATTGTTTTAACCCCCCAAAAAGTTATTACCTGGCGTGATAGAGGTGTTAGCTAACTAACACTTTGTTGGTAATTATACTGCAATATATAAATGTATCAAATCAACAACTTAAACTTGCATAATGTTATATGTCAGTTATATCTCAATAAAATATGTGCTCTTCAAAGACATTTTAAAAAATAAAGTCTGATTAATACCTGTAAACTGTAGATTTAAGATGTTAAAGAATGGGAGTCTTAGTGAAAACACTTGAGTATAGATGTTAGTTACTTTCCTTTCTGAAGCATAAACTTTGGTATAGTTGTGCTACTATTCTTGACTTTTGAACAACAATTTAATGAAGGTTAATTCAGTGAGAGATGGTAAAGATTTCCTCTCACCCAAAAAGAGCAAAGCTAAGGACAAAAGGTGAAGTGGCATTTGCCAAGACACTTTGTACTGGTTGGATTGGGTCTCAGGTTTCCACTAGTGAGCCTGGTGAAGGGCTCCTGTCTCACAGGACCTTAGCTTGAACTGATGGTCTGAATGTTAGGAGTATGAATGAAATTTTAGGTATATATAAAATGAATAGCTATGCTTCCACATTTTCAGATTTGCACTGTCAGCCATGGACATGGAACAGCGAGACTATGACTCTAGAACAGCTCTCCATGTAGCTGCTGCGGAGGGTAATTACACGAACCACTCATCTATTTATTTTTCCAGATTTGATTTCTACTCAGTACTAAAATCTGCTTGTCTTGTTTTGGATACAGGTCATGTTGAAGTTGTTAAATTTTTGCTGGAAGCCTGCAAAGTAAATCCTTTCCCCAAGGACAGGTGAGCACCACTGTTACCTTTTAACATATCATTGGCAAGTCAGGGTTTTGTTACACAGGGGTATAATAATTAATGATGGTATATTTAAATCCACTATGTTGATATTAGAGACATTCTTAAACTAGGCAGCAACGAAACCTCGTTTCTGCCAGGCAGATGGTTCTCACTCCTACGTCCTATTTCTTATTTAAGGATGGTCTCTTATCTAGAATTTTTCAAGTTAGTCAATACACCGTATAAAGAGAACAACTCTTTTGTGCTTGGAAAGAGAAAATAGGAATTTTATCCTCATGTGGTTTTCAACTACACAGGACAGACAAGGTAGACATTTATAGGACCATATTTCAAATGTATATGAACATTACTGTTATAGAACCCTAAAGTGAATATATTGGAGTTTTTGAAATTCCTGGATTTGGTTGGAGTCACTTTTAGAAGGTCTTGTGGAAATTGGATTTTAATCAGTGCTTTGGGGAGAGACCAAGTTTGAAGGCACGGAAGAGAAGGGCACTCTATCTTTAGTGGCAGAAATCAGGCTGGAATGTATTTTGCTCTTCTCCCTCTTGGTCCAGATGGCAAACTGCCATTCATCCCGCAGTAAATGCTGTCCACTATGTGGACCGTCCAGCGAGGGGGAAGAGTGCAGCTTACGTATGTACCTGAACTTTGTACTCATACACTTGCGCATTATATAACTGCCTGATTTGCTTTACATACTGAGGCACTCCTATGTTGGGCACATAAATGTTTGTAAGGGTTATATCTTCTTGCTGGATTGATCCCTTTATCATTTTGAAATGTCCTTCTTTGTCTCTTACTATAGCCTTTGTTTTAAAGTCTATTTTGTCTAATAGAAGTATTGCTACCCCAGCTTTTTTGTTTCCCTTTGCGCATTTTTTACCATCCCTTTACTTTCAATCTGTGTGTATCTTTTGTTCTGAGGTGGGTCCCTTGTAGATGGCATATATATGGGTCATGTTTTCTTATCCATTCACCTACCCTGTGCTTTTCTTTATTGTTGAAAGTATTACAGGTGTCCCATTCCCCCCCCCC